TTCATGCTTTCTACTAAGTTTCTGATTTGACTTTCTCAATAAAGAAAGAAAAATACAAACAAACCTGAACTTGCCCTCTAAGTGGCAAAACGACTTGCGATATTTTGGTGATAAGAAATCTTCTAGCAAAAGATTCACCGATCACAAATAAAAATAGTATATATACTCCATTGTTTCATCCATTCAATATATTATATCCATCATGGCAAAGAATGGCAAGGTGTGTCAAATTAGTCTAGAAGCAATCCCCTTAACTCCTATACTAAACAATTCCAACCTCCATTGTTACTGCTTTTGGATACCCTTTCAAGCTTTCGGAGTGAAAGCCAAATGCAATAAGCTTGAATAACTATTGAAAATGTATTTTGTTTTGATCTCTACATAACCAAATGTTTAACTTAGAAAAAAATGTAATTTTGTGATTATACACCAAGTCCCATGGCATTGATTTTCTCAAAATAAATGATGCACTTGTTAGATGGTTTTGAGGGGATGCATTATTAACTTGATGTTATGCCGCATATTTGATGAGCTAAGAAATCAAAGATTTCAAAATGTAATAATTTATAAAGCAGCTATACATTCACCAATGGTTAAGAATAGAAGAAAAGTAAAAAAAAAATGTATATAAGATGACCTTTAGAAGCAGCATCAACAGAAGAAAAGAATGACATACATCAGAGGAGAAAAGAACGGCATATAAAACATAAAAAGCAAGGAAGTTAGAAGTAAGAGAAAAACATACAAATTCAGCACCATTTTAAAAACATGCTTAAAAATAAAACAATATATTTGCAAAACAAATATGTTAAATAGGCAAACTTATACCATCTTTTAAGGCAATAAGCATTGAAATTATTTCAATTACAGCATATATGAAGGAAGATGATACTATTGCTCTATAGTCCCACATAGCAACAATATTGCATTGAATAAATTTCATAAGTACTTAGCTATCAAATTCAGGATAACATATTGATCTATCTCCTAACAACTTAATTGCAACTAACGCCACCATATTTTGCATATTCTAATCAGATGACGATCAAGTTTCTTCAGATGTGGCCTTGCTAGCCCTTAAATGCTAACATATATAATGGTTATTGAGGGTAGAACACAAGGGTTTGATTCAACCCAAAACTATGAACCAGAATGTTTTAGGAAAATACGTATGGGTCATTACTAGTATTTTAGGAACTCAAATCTTGTTCTGGTTTCAATAAAAAACTTATTAACACCACCACGTCTAGATTAACCTAAAGATTGTGCTGCCACTCACTATTTGTACCACACTCTTTTAAACCCTTGATCAATTACCAACTAAATCACATCCCTTCATTAAATAATAAACTAAACTATTGTTTACTTTAAATGCAATCCATAGCAATATATAATTGTATGGAATATGATATCTTAGCAAAGTAGTTTTCAAGTGTATCTTCTCTCTCCTTCACTGTATTGGGTTCCAAAATTTTTTACATGACATTAGAGCTATAGCCTGATGGCATCTCCCTCTTCCTTGCTATGAGCTCCTCCGTTGCTTTCTCTGGCATGAACACCACAACACAACTGAAACCTCTATCCTATCACAAAACATTGTCTGCCAAGCTGAATGCTCATGGCCAACATCCAATGCATTGCTTCCATAGAGCTCACTCCTGACAATCACCCAACTTAGAAACCAAGATGTTTTGAGCAAATGGCTTTGATGGCTTCCAAAACGTATCGTACCGCTGTTCTGCACGGCATAACAATGTTCTCATAAGAAATTCAATTCCCAACCCATATTACACAAAATGACTACTAATAGATCAATATCTTCCAACCGCATTATACTTTGTCATTTCTCCGCCCGTTCTCCCCTACGCTTGACACTTACCATAACATTTGGGCAACTATTGGGCGTTGTGTACGATAATCTAACAAATTCAAAATCATCCAATTGAAAAATGACTTCACAACCTTACCATGGTAGGGAAAAATCATGAATCAATACCTCTCAAAAATCAAAATGAAGGTTGACATCATCGTTGTTGCAGGCGCCCCATTAGACCCCAAAGACATTATCCTCTAAACCTTAAATGGGCTACCATCTATATATCATGCCTACAACGCCGCAATATGCACCAACCTTCAACCCATTACTCTAGATGATCTCCACGCCTTGTTATGTAGTGAAGAGCTGAATCTAACAGATGAAAACTACAAAGAATTATCTCAATCCACAACACTAATGACCAATTGTGGAAGAAGAAGAAATAGAAGCAAACCACACCACACCAATGTTGGTCGCATCACTTCATCCTTCCAATCAAACTAAACTAACGCTAACTTCAAATTGCAGCAACAAACCCCTCATAATATGTCAAATTTACAACAAACATGGACATTATGCATTCAAGTGATGACATAGACATGACAAGCTCTACTAACCACCCACAACGGTCACAACAACTCCAGATATTTTGACTAGCAACTGGTACCTAAGCAGTGGTGCTATCGAACACTTCACATCTGATTCCCACCAAATCTCCAAAACTTGCATATTTCTTGGCTATGCACCTCTACAAAAATGATATAAGTGCTTAGATCCACAAATCAACCAAACTATGTATCCAAGCATGTTGAATTCAACTAAAAACTGTTTCCCTTCAAACACTCATTCAACCCCTCAAATCCTCTCACCCACACAACAACTTTCCCACCACTTCTCATACTAAACTCCAGCATACTAAAACATCTCATATTAGCTCCTCACATAATAGTATAAGCACCAACAAAACATCAACACCCACATATCAACCCATCAACCACTTTACCCATACCCTCACAACTCAGTATGTCTCCTACAGAACCTCCCAATACTTCTCCCATCCACCTCCAATTAGACACCCAGTTCAAACACATTTCAATATAAGTCATCTAAAGCTCCGATGAATGCTTAACCTTACTTACCAACTGCATCAAAAACCCGCATGCTACTCCATCACAGCCAAATGCCCCCATTAACGCTATGCAAAGTTAGCTGAATTCCAATCAAGGCACCAAGATCCTTGTCTAACCCTCACCGGGCCAAAATGTCCTTGGCAGCAAATGGATATACATAACCAAATACAATGTTGACGGCTCAATCACTCGCTATAAAGCTCATCTTGTTGCACAAGGTTTCAAGCAACAACCCAATCTAGATTGCACAAAAACCTTCAACCTTGTAGCCAAACTACTTACACTTCACGTCTTCCTTACAATGGCCCTCACTCACCATTAATTAATTGTCCAACTAGACGTGTCCTATGCCTTTCTAAATGGACATCTCACAGAAACCATTCACATGACCTAACCACTTGGCTTTATTGATACTGAGTATCCTCACCATGTTTTCCTACTAAAGAAAGCCCAATATGGGTTCAAGCAAGCATCAAGTTCATCAGTTTCAAATCCAGCTCTATCGACTCTCAACCATAGAACTCACCTCAGCATACTCATTTAAATGGATGATATCCTACTCAATGGCACAAAGTTTAATCTCATACAAACCACAATCCACAACTTACAATAAAAGTTCAAAATAAAACTTATGGGACATCTCTCTCAATTCCTAGGCATCACAACCATCGCTACCAATTATTACCTTCACCTAACTCAATCTTCCTATACTCAAGACATCCTAAATAAATTTGGCATGCTACACTCACCTAAACTCTCCTCCAAAAAACATGACCTCAATCATATGCCTAATCCCTCCCTATGCAAGCATATTTTAAGATCCCTTCAATACGTCACCCTTAATCGACCAAATATCACATTTGTTGTCAATCTAGCCTGCCAATCTATGCAACAATCTAATCAACACCATTTTCAACAACTTAAGTGGCTCCTCATGCATATCCAAGGCACCAAGCATCTCATCCTTCCAATTTTCAAATCCTCTAAGTCTCGCAGACTATGCCAACTCTGATTAGGTTGGGGACCTATCAGATCGCAAATCTAACTCCAAATACTACGCCTTTTATCGACACAATTCCAGTCTTTTGGTCAGTCAAAAAGCAACCTATTGTTGCCCGCTCATCCACTGAAGAATAATATCATGCCCTCGCCTCGACAGCTACGGCAATCATTTAGCTAAGGCGCTTACTACAAGAATTTCAACTTCCATTAAAACAAGCGGCACCACCCTGTGACAACAGCTCAACCATAGCTCTTGCCAATAATCTATTCATCCACGCCAGAACCAAACACATCAAAGTAGATTTTCACTTCATACAAAATTGCATCAAAAATCAACATCTCATCGTGCTTCATATTGCTACCCACGATCAACTGACAGAGATGTTCACCCAAGCCCTCTCCAACTCTCGGTTTAAGCTTCTCCGGTCAAAGCAGATGCCCTTCTCAAAGACCTCAATTTGCATGGGAATATTAACACCACCCGTCTGCAACAACCTAAAGATTATGCAACCACTCACTGTCTGTACCAAACTCTATCAGAACCCTTGATCAATAACCAACCCAATTGCATTCCTTCGTTACATAACAAACTCAACTACTACATAACAAACTCAACTACTGTTTACTTTAAATAAAACTCCAAATCCACAGAAATATGTAGTTGTACAGAATATGATATCTTGACAAATTAGCTTTCCTCTGTATCTTCTTTCTCTCTTTCACTCTACCATAACTTTCCACAAAAGTATTTTCCAAAATCATGCCCATCTCAACAAGAGTCTCATTGATTCTATAATTAACCCATCCATGACTGCTTCATATTTACTTTTCCATTAAATTTGTTGCTTAAGATCCTACTACGATGTCTACAAACAAGAAAACACTGCACATGAAACAACCCATGGAGAGTTAAAGAAAGAAACCAAACCTTCAAAAACAGTTAAAAACCTACCTTTACATAGATCCATCTTTTCAAAATTTCATTTTTCAGCAAACTAATACAGATATATCAATAGAACCAAAATCAAACAAAGCCAGCCATCAAAATTTACCTGTAAGTGAGGCCTCAAGAACATGAGTCCTCCAAAGAACTTGATCCATCGGAGTAACAGTACCAAGCTTAAAACCCCTCTTCTGTATGCTAAGAATATTAACTATACTCGAAAGAAAAATCACCGCCAGAGTACACGCTAGTGTCTTCATCGTCGCCGGCCCCTTCCCTGTCTTCAACTGATCCAATGTTCTCATAACGAGCTCTCTGAGCGGTCCAATCTTCAGCATCAAAAGTAATGCCACCGCACCCTCGGCAAACAGAACCAGAAAAAGAAGCTGAATCATCTCTCTATCGTACACTTCAGCAAAATCCTTCTTCTTCTTCTTCAATGCCCTAAAGCTCTCCTCATATGCAACGAATCAAGTGACATTGACGAGGCGAAAAGAAACCGGAGCAAGACATAGGATGGAAATCAACAGGAACTGTGACTGGAAACCAGAAAGTGACCTGTTATTGCTGCTGCTAGTGAGAACAATGAGGTTTTAGAACAATCGCTTTCCGCAAAAAGGAAGCTATGAAGGCCAATTTTTTTCTGGTTTCAGGCCAGAAGGAGATCTGGAGATTTGGAGATTTGCAGCTAGGGTTGCTTTCGTGCGTTTTTTCTGGACAAATTCAAAGCAGATCACATGAAGCAGAAACGGCGCAGTGAGGACAACGATTCTTATCAGGAATGGTTAAGATCTTCCTATAAATTTTGAAATATTTTATAATAAGTGTTTTTAGGGTCATTTTTATACATACCACCTAATTTTTTTTTGTATTTGCATATTTAACAGCTAAATTTGATTTTTAAATTAATAAAAAATCTATATATGCGTGTTTATGTGCGTGTAAGAGATTGATGCTTCGTCTTTAAATATGTTATTACATTGAAAATGAGTGATAAGTATTTATCACGTATTTATATTTTCATGAAATAATAATAATAAAAAATTTGATTTTTTATTTAATTACATTCTCATCTTAATTGTTTTTTTTTTTTTTAGCTGATAATTTTTTAGATAGATTAGATAGATTGGAGTTGAGGAGTAGCCTTGAAGTAATACCCATGAGTGATCTAGTGATGGAGCCTTTACAATTGACATTAGTGCTTTGGTTTGTTTGTTTTCAATGATGGTGGGACATTGGTCTCTAGTTATGATGGTGGTTATATGATTTCAGGCTTTTTGATGGAGTATGGAAAAAATCCGTATTCTTTTTATGATATTAGAAGCCAAAATCTTCGATTTAAAGTGCGTTTATTTCAGCTTTTAAAACCTTTTTTTTTTATCAAAATAGTGTTTCAGGCCAGTTTGATTCGTGTGTTCATAAAATATGCTCAGAACTCCGTTTTTATGAACTGTAGAAATGCGAACGCAGATTGACCCCTGCGTTCCGTCGTCTGCTTCTTAAAAAAATAATGTGGTTATACTTCTTTTGCAATTTTGCCCGCACCCAAGCCTCCTTTTTTTGGCGTGCCCTAGGTGTTCTCGCAAGTTGTCTCACCTTCTCCTGCTCTCATGCCTTATCGGTTGATCTAGTCCCCCTTCTTCTTCTCTGCTCTTTTGGTAACCTCTCCAGCACTTATATTCACTCGCCAGTGTTTGCTTTTCTTCTTTTATTGAGTTGTTCGCACGGGATTTGAAAATCGGTTATCTTTTTTTAGAATTATGCCATGAGATTTTCAAAGTGCAAAGTTTGATATAAAATTATTATGTTGTGTAGTTGATTTATAGAATTATGATGTGAGATTCCTCTGTTGTGTGGTTAAATTTAGCTATTCGTCTCTTTTTTTTTTGTGTGTCAAGAAAATATACAGGTAGTCCAAATCCGGGTTTGTGATTCTACAATAACTTTGTATGCTAGATATTTAAGAAGTTATGTTTATTTTTTCTCGTGCATCTTCAGTTTTTAGAAGTATCTTAAATAATTGAGATTCAAAGTGGATTCGGGTCTGGATTCCACAGTATCAACTCAAATATCAAGCATACAAGGTCATTCGGGTCCGGATTCCACAGTATCAACTCAAATATCAAGCATACAAGGTCATTGTAGAATCGCACACATTTAAGGATATAGATAAAAAACTTGAAGACTTATGAGGAGAAATAATTCTTTCTTCTTATAAATTAGATGTTTGGCATTATTTCTCTAACTCCCCATTTCAACTATATAAAGTTGAATGCATGAGATGAGATATGCATATACATATGTTTAAAACAAAAGAATAATGTTTTTATTTTAGGTTGATTTGCATTTAAATAATTACATAAGGAAATACGGTGGAGTGACATAGCTTGTTATTGTTACAAATGTGGGAAGGATGAGGAATTATATTTTGACATGATTAGTCTGGTATTAATCAACTTCTTTTTTTTCCAAGGTGAATCAATTTAGCAGTAATATAGATAGTTATTGTTACAAATTTGCACATGGTCTATATAGTTGGAGTAGAGAACTTTTTCTTTCTCTATATAGCTAGAGTGGAGGTCTTAAGTTGCCTATATAGTCTTGCTAGAAATTCATTTTTTTTAGGCAAGCAAACCTCTTTGGATAATGACTCTTCATAAATGTCAATCTTATTAGATTGAAATAGTGTCAAGTTTAATTTATTATTTTCTTACATATGTTTTTTGGTTTTTTTTTTTTTTTTTTTTTTTTTTTTCACAAAATGAGCAATACAAGACATGGCACAAAATTTATTATCTGAGACAAAGAAACAACTTATTTTTTGGTGATATAAGTATGAAAAAAAATTAAATTAGAGAATAGGCCAACAACATTTCAACAAAGAAGGTTGGCATAACATTACAAATAATTTTCAAGAGAAAACTAGGAGGTTGAATGATCAAACCAACTAAGGAATTAATGAGACCAATTAAAAAAGGATTGGAATATCTGGAAAGAGCTCAAAAGAGGATCCATTGGCCTTGATTGGGATCCAATTAAAAACACCATAGATGAATCAACAGATTAGTAGAAGGAGAAATTAGATGTTAAATTTATTGTAAGACATATATATTTAATTTTTTCATGCTGACGCACTTGTTATACGTAACTTCTTCCTTCTGATTATATGAATGACAAGTTGTACAAAATGCTAAGAAATTTAAGTTTGATGAAATCGAACTAGAGCAAGAGGAGAAGTTGAATGTTATGTTTGGTGAGGTTGTTGTGACTGGTGAACATTAATGGACTCCTTAGGGTTCAAAAGAGCATAAAGATAGCCCGATTAATTTAATTGAGATATCACCACAAGGCATAAATGATATTAGTGAATCTAGCAATGCATGAACACAACCTTCTTTAAAAGCAAGGGCAAGTAGTACTAAAAAAACTTGTTTTGTGTATTTTAAAAGCCAAATATCTGAGTTAGTTACAACATGCACGAAGTTATCTTCTAACTCCACTAATGCACAACAATCTTCATATATTCCTGTTGTAATAAAAATACGAACAAATACTGGAAGTTTTTGTAGATATGCCCTTGTATTTGTACTCATTGGAGCTAATTGAAGATTCCGTAAAGAGATTTCACGCCCATGGCACCTGAAGGGATTACTTACGTTTCTTCTATGAAAATCGCAATGCCTGATTACTATTGTCTATTTGTGTTATGTGTGAAGTGCATCTGACATTTTTTGTATAATAAACACTTAAAATTATAACATTTTATTATTCCCTTTTTTGGACCTGAATAATTGTTCTTATTCTATTTTCATGTTATCATCTATTTTTTGACAAAGCTATTATTATTGATGCTAGAAAATGTGATGGGTGACCTTATGTCAACAAATGCACATACTATTATTATTACAGTTGTGATATTTTACTATCTATTATTTTTCCAGCTATGAATCCCACTGAGAGAGTACATAGGGAGTGCTGCAGAAAAATTATTACAACAGTTGTTTGTACTCACTGTGTAATATGAATCACCCATCTCTCGTATGTCATGTATGACACAACATTTACCAGGGACAAATGGATCAATGAACTTCTTGGGGGCATCATCCTAGCAAATTCCATAACATGTTTCGTATGAGCCAAGTACTGTTTATTGATCTGTTGAATGAACTACATAATAGTCATGGTCTCAATGGCTCTTCTATAATGAATTTGAAGGAGCTATTGTCCAAAACACTTTGTAGTTTATCACACAATGAATGAATAAGTTGGCATGTGAGAGATTTCAGAATTCATACGAAACCATAAGTAGATATTTCTCTATTGGTATAAATGCATTGTTAAGTATGTCTTTCAGAGTTATTAAGCCTAAGACCCAACTTTCTGAAATATTCCTACCATAAGTAGATATATGACATATTTTAAGGTATATGGAGATTTTTTTTCCAAAAAAAACATCAAATTTAAAACTATTACCATTTCACGTAGGATTGTATTGGTGTTGTTAATGGCACACATGTTTATACACGTGCACCAAATGATGAAAAGGTCACATATATCAGACGTTATGGTTCACCTACACAAAATGTAATGGTAGTATGCGACTTCAATTTGTGCTTTAATTTTATCATTGTTGTTTGGGAAGGTAGGGCTTATGATAGTAGAAGTTTCAAGTTTGTGACACGATTCTGTATGCATAACATTCCGCTGAAGCCTCCAGGTTATATAAATCCTCCTTAAGCCTTGTCTTAAAGTTTTACATAGTAACTCATGGTTGATTGTCGTAACAGAGAAATACTTTATAATGGATGTCGGATATCCACTGCAATGAAATTTTTAAAACCATTTTCCAACACAAGATATCACATTCTAGACTTTGAGAGATTTAGTCAAGTAATGCAGGGACAAAATGAAATGTTTAATAAGCATCATTTGTCACTGTGAGGTGAGACCGAGAGGGGTTTTGAGTTTAAAAGAAAAAAATGTGTTATTTTGAGGGAGAAGTCAGTATATTCATTTGAGAAACATGTTAGAATTGTCACTGCAATAATGACACTTCATAATTACATACGGTATTTTTCTTTGCATTTTGACCTTCACTTTGCAAGTGTCGATGACAAAGAATTAGTGTGATCGGAAGCATATGAATATCACTTGAGTGAATCGATGATGGAAACTAATGATGAGATCATCAATACCAATGTTGGTGATGGAGAACGTACGGATGAGATGGTTGTGTTGGGAGAGCATATCACTGATGTTTTAGTTAATTCTTAAAAATTCACAAATATCATGATCAATGTTTAGTGTTTTGTTTGGGACAATTTTGTGAAGCAGTAAAACTATCTTGCAACATCGATCAAGGTATTTATGATTGTAGCAATGACACTATTTATATTTGAGTGTTGTCAGTTCCTTATCCTACCTGTAAGCTAAATTTTTTGTTGGATGTGTGCCCTTAAGAATTATTCTTTGTTTATTGTTACTGTTTGAGCTGTTCAAATTGTTTATAAAGTCTGATGTGTGGCCTTAAGGATTATTGAATCATTTAGGGAAATCATTTCAGTGTATATCGAATATTCCTGCTTCTAATAAATATTTGTTTTCATGCTTCTTCTAATTGATTCCTAAATTCCTACTGTTAGTTCAATTCTATCTATACTATCTTCTCTTTGAGAACACATCAAAACTACCATAAATTTAGCTTTAAAAAGTCAGATGAACACTTTATAATGCAAGATTCTTGGTTGAATATATTTATATGAAGAGGATGTAT